TATTTAAAAACAAATTATTTAGTTAACATAAGTCTCTTTTCATGGAATATATTTAAGTGACCAAGACACTATTATAATTACATCTAATATTCTCTTCCTAATTTTATTACTCTAATGAAAAATGTATGCTTATATTTTAGTTTTTCTTTCTATATTTTACATATATGTATAGTACCAGTGTCCATCAATGTACATATTAATTATGTCCTATAAATACTATTAAAATCAGGAGAATACATTTTAAATATAACACATTAAGACTCCTAATGGTTTATGAATGATAGCCTTTAACCTGACACATATTTTCCTTCTTACTGTTTATGCTTTTATACTTAATTATAATGACTGTCATTATTCAAATAGCTTATATGACAAAATTATAATTTTTTGGACTATAGACACAATTTGTACTTGAAATGTTTATACTCCAAAGCATTTGAATTAGAATGATATTAAAACTACACAGATATTATTGGCCTGACACATGCCCTTTTTAATGGATAAAATTTACAAAATTGCTCATTAGGTAAAATATCATCTGCTATTCATATGCAAATTAGTTTAATGCTTTTCTGCACTCAATAAAAATTAAATTTTAAACTATGATTTTTTTTCACCTTTGATGCAATCAACTTGAATAAATAAGAAAGTATATTTTTATAAATAAGTGTTTAACAGCAATACATACAGATATGCAAATTAAGAAGTGTAATTTTAGCTTAAAATAATAGTGGTNGTTTTTTTCACCTTTGATGCAATCAACTTGAATAAATAAGAAAGTATAGATATTTTTATAAATAAGTGTTTAACAGCAATACGTACAGATATGCAAATTAAGAAGTGTAATTTTAGCTTAAAATAATAGTGGTGAGAATAATTATAAAAAAAGCTGAAATTTAGAAACAGAAAAAATATAGGTGAAAGTTTGTTTAAAAAATTTATTACTAAATATGAAATATTCTATGAAGTCTCATAAAATATAGCTTAAACAAACATCCACTTTTGCTTTCTTTGTGGAATAAAAAAAAAAATTATACCTCAATCTAGTTAATAATTTATTTGTTTTTTAGAAAATCTTCATAATTCTCAAATGTGCACAGACTGCAAGGGCTATATAGACAGAAGAAAGACCAGCTAATCTCTCATCTGTGATTGAATACGAGAATGTCCTGGGCTCTCAACCTCTGCATTGGTAAACAAGGGAGATACGGTTCCTTCTCCTACTAGTCAGCGAGTTTGTCCACCACTGTCACCAACATCTACCATTGCACTAGTTTGTTAACCATTACTAAGGTAAAGTGTAGTCATGCAAAGTGAGTAAGAACCAAAGGGAAAGAAACACCTCATAACAAAGGGTAGAGTTAAGGGTACGCGGAAGACCAATTTGGGAGACATGAAGTCCACACAAAAGCAGTAACCTGGTTCTCAATAACGTTATAGTGGAAAGAGCATAAGCTGCTAAGAGAGATGGAACTGGCTTTAAGTTCTAACTGCTACCGGCTTCATGATTCTCTTCTCTTCCTTCCATTTATCTAACATGCTGCGGCTAAAACAATCACCCTGAGCTACAATTCTAATTATGTTAGGCACATATTCAGAATCTCCCACTGGTTCCTGCACTGCCTAGAAGATTAGTTTCAACAGCACAGAGGTCACTATTCTTCAGGATCTGGTCGCAGCCACATTTCCATCCTTAACTCTCACTCTGTACCTTGTTCCCACCCACATGCCCTCACTTCACCTATTTACTTCAACCAAGGATATCAGTCATTATTTCAAACTGCTCAAAACTTCTGTCCTTCTTCCCCCCTACTCAGTCTGTTCTCACTACTAATTTGTCTGAATCAAAATTCCAATTATCATTCAAAATCCAACTTATATCTCTTCCAGGAAAACCCCAACCCCCAGCTTTTGTATACTTTCTTGGCATTTTATTTGGACCATAACTGAGTTATACTCTATCTATGAATATATATGTATATGACATATGTATATCTTCTTCATTACATTATAAATATTTTATAGCTAATTTTATAGTCCTGAAGACTAAGCCTCAGGACTCCTTAGTGGCACCTAATTTTTCATAGCTCTGAGAGGGGCCTTAGCAACTGTGAAATTTGTGAGTTTGAATTAATTCTATTTCCTGAAGAGGTGTGCCAAATCATACATACCTCAGGGCCTGTAAAATGAGGATTCACCCTTGAGTGCAAGAAAGTTACTCAGTTTAATAATCTGTGTGGCTACATCCTTGCTGGATGGCACCCTGAAGCTTCAATGGCCACACACTATTTTATTTAGCTCCCTAAGATGCAGTTCATAAAACCTCATCACTCTTCAGGTCTCTAACCCTTATATTGTTTTCACAGGTCATTTCCTCCATAAAAGCCAGTCTTTCCAGCATTAAAAGCCTGAAGGTACAATTAGGCCAAAACAATAATGGAGACTAGGTAGGCAATTCAATTTCCTCCACTCTAACTGGGAATCACATGTTCTTGGCTTTCATTCCACGTAGGAAAAAACAGCTCATGAAAATTGTTAGGAGATTTTGTGTACATATAGTCATCTTAAAAGCTTGCTATACATGTGAATTCCAGGACCCACTCTATGAAAGTTACATGATCTTGATCCAAAGACAACTATTTGGGAACTACTTCCTTAATGCGGATTCTTAATCTTCTGGGTGTCAGATCCCTTGGTGTATATCTTCTGGGTGTGCACATACACACACATACACACACATGGCAGGTCCTCAAATAATTCAATTTCATTATAATATTGATGAGATGCCATAGAAACTTAACTCTTGTTCCCAACAATTAGACTATAGTAAAACTGGTTTTATTATATGTTTTTTCTCCACAGTTCCAAGAATCAACTGAAGGCATTAATTGAGGACTTTGTGTGTGTTTTGTATGTAGAGAGAAAGAGAGATCAATCATCTTTTGAGAACTACAGAGAAAATAAAATTAAAGATGATTTTAAAAAAGGAAAAACAATATGTGCTTCCATTCCATCCTGCAACTACTGAAAACAAAAGTAAAAAGACAAAATCCAAACTGGGCAAATCTGACTATGCTAAACACTCGAAATAATACAAAATAATATTAAGTGTAAACTATAATTGAAAAAATGTAAAAAATAAAAAGAATGGAAAAAAAACAACCTGACTTACAGGAGTCCTAGAAATAGTCAATGAGAAAATAAAAAAGAAAAATATCAAAGAAATAATGAATGCTTTCCAGAGTTGAAGGCCATGGGGAGCCCCCACAGAGGGTCCATTTTCATTCCAGCACAGTGGATGAAAAAAGATCAAATCTAAGAGAAATTTGAAAAGAATTTCAAATATAGAGGCTCATGAGGTCAGCATTAGAGGGACGGGGTGGCAGGAAACAGGTTATATACAAAATTTTGAAATTAGACTTCTCAGCTGCTGTATTGAAAATTTAAATGCAATGAAGCAATTATCTCAAAATTCTGAAGACAATAATTTTCATTCTAGAATTGTTATCCACCTATTAATTATATGTGAACTTTGAATCATATTATTTTCAAACATACAAAACTCAAAATTTTACTTTGAATCCTTCTTCAAGAAGCTAGTAGAGGTGTGTTTTAGTAAAATGTCAGAATAAACCCTAAAATAGAAGGCATGGGTTCCATATAAGTGGGAGATCAAAGGGATGCTCAAGGATGAAGGTGAAGTTAAACTCCAGCTGGAAAAGAGAACCAGGAAGGATGCCTCTAATTTCAAAACCAAAAACTTGGAACTGATGGAAACTGGTGTGTTTTACTATATTGAGAGGAGTATAAAAACTCTGGTACAGAGTTTGCTCAAAAATTAGTGAAAGCAATGTAAAAATCTAAGCAAATGAAAGAAAAGGGATAATATTTAATCCCAGGAAAAATAAGAAAATTGCAAAAAAAGAAAAAAGAAAGGTGTGATCTATTTTGCTAATTATAATAATGTAAATAATTATTACTTAACTAAAAATTGTAGATAGCTATATCGAGATGGGGACTGATGATTGGGGGGTTGCTGGTGAAGTGGTGTACAGTAATAGAACCTTGCTAGAGGTACTTCCAGAAAAGAAAACTCATCTTCCTTACAGAAAGTCAACAGATAGTGTCTAAAATCAATACCAAAAAAGCACAGTACACAAATTTCATTTAGAAATATGGGAGTACCAGAAGATACAAAATAATTTTAAGTGATTTCCTCTAGGGATTAAGAACTGGAAGGAATGAAGGAATGATGCCTTTCATCATGATATTTTAAAAAATGATTTTAAAATATGGACATCAATCATTTTGACAAACATAAAAATAAATAAGTAAATTTAAAGAAAATATATTTTGTAATACATACATTTATGACAAAAAGTACTATGGTCTAAATATTTCTACATGTTTTATGTAAGGTTGATATGGGTCTGAAAAAAACTTAGCTCAATTTAACTATGCATAAGCATAGACTATAAGAACTATTTTTCTTACCATAGCTAATCTTTTCTCAAAAATGTTGGGCACTTGCCTATTTTTATATTATACTCAAATCCACCTGGTTTAAGGGCCATCCACCTGAATTACTGATACTACGAACAGAAGTATATTAGTTAGCTATATGGATATCACATATCCATATTTCTTCAGGCTGGAATTTGGGGTTTAATAGAGCCTACAGGGACTGCTGGTAAACCAGTATGCTCCAAACCTGTCTCAGGACAACGGATGTGGTGACAAGGGACATCATGCAAGAAGAATGTCAAATGCACCAATGTGAAGTCTTCTGGGAAATCGGAGATTGGTGCTAAAAGTTCAATGTTATATGTTCCCAATTTATAAACTTTTCTCAAGATGATTTCATTTTAATGAATATTTAATTTTTTCAAAAGAAAAAAATTCAGGTAATGAAAAAAATAATCCAAATAACACCCATGCAAGAATATATCTACCTTACCCCTTTTCTTTCCCTCTTGAAATACAGTTTGATATTTCCATACCTCTCTATAGCCATTGCTGATTTGTTCCAAGCTGAGGGAATACACAAGATCCTTGCCTCCCACAAAAAGTCTCTCTTGATATTCATCCAGCAGCATTGTGTGGAGATCAAGAAATCCAAAAGGGCTATGAAAGATTGATGTTCTGTTTAATTCCAAGAGCTCTGAAATGCAAAAGGAAATGAATGCTAAACACAAGAGAAAACAAAAATACCTTTATAATACCTTTCTCATGGCTCTATTTTTATACCTATTGGAACTGTGTAGTTAACATTCATTTTATCAGAAATATAAAGCCTTTAAAATTTATTACTCAGAAAGATTAAAAATACATAGTGCATTAACAATACTGTAGTGTATATTTGAAAGTTCCTTAGAGAAAAGATCTTACAAGTTTTCACAAGAAAAAAATTCTAATTACGTGAGGTGATCGAGGCTAACTAAACTTCTTGTGGTTGTCATTTATTAATATATACACATATCAAATCAATATGTGGTATGCTTTAAACTTATACAACGTTATATCCCAACTATGTCTCAAAACTGGAAAAATATTTTAAAATATTTGTGCATTATGTAAAAAAATAGAATGCAACTGGGAATAAATTTTAATGTACATGAATTAAAATATTTTATAAGTTTATGAATCTAAAAACTTTTTTCAACTTAAGATATTTATCATATGTTTTTAAATACAGAAAGAATTATCCTTCACAATCTTTAAAGTGCTGTTATGTGAAAAAGTCTTTTATGACTTTTATATTTACCTCTCTATGTGCAACAAAAATCCCAAGTCTATAATAAATATTCCCATTAAATTCCATATGAACACCAATTCAAAAAGTGTTTCCACTTGAAAATGGTTTTGAAAATCATGTCCAAAATCAAATTGTTCAAGTCTGGAAATTATCAGGTTTGTTAATACAATAAGGTAACACATGGTAGCATTCAGTATAGTAGGGATGACTAATAAAACTGGTGGAGCCCTAGCCATTTTGGCTCAGTGGTTAAAGCACCAGCCCACAGACTGAAGGGTCCTGCATTAGACTCCAGCTAAGGGAGTTGCAGGCTCAATCCCTGGCCCCTGCCTGGGTTGGGGAGGCAACCAATCAATGTGTCTCTCTCACATCACTGTTTCTCTCTCTCTCTCTCACTCTCTCTAAAAAAGCAATGGAAAAAATATCCTCAGGTGAGGACAAGAAAACTCCACAAAAAACCAAAAAATTGTTGGGGATCTACTTTCTGCCAATGTGTTTTGGCTAGTATTTATGTACTCATCCTTACCTCAGAAATTACAAATTATTTGTTTTAACTAATATACATTTCATTTTAGAAAGTTAGAACCTGGCAAGAACATTATATGTGTACATTTGTCTGTTTGTTTGTTGAAAGCATTTAATTGCATGTAGCAGTTCAGTACTTACAACTGGTAAATGATATACGAGAGCCTTTAATGATGAGAGAGAATATCATCCCCAATACTGATACCATTGTATTTAGCTAGTTATTAATAACAGGAAAGGGGCAAAAGGGAGGACAGACATTATAAGCATGATCATTTAGGCAGCTTCACCAGGAAGCTGCAATTTCATACTCCAGGGAACCACTGGCCCATTCCCCACAGATCACTGGGGGAAGGGGTTCAACAAAGGGGAGATGGATACATGCACAGTGAAGATGGGGTGACTAGAGAAGGTGCCTGTCAGACAAACCTGGGAACAGAGATCATTGGCCAGAATGGGCAGGGCTACTGCAAGATTAAGAAAATTTGGGAATACATAATCCGCTAAACAAAGAAGCGCTCCTTCATGGATCTCTTCGCTCATGGGGGGCTCTCTTGTTCCTGCTTCCTTACATTCACCCATGTCTCCTCTATAGTCATGTGACCCTGTGGACCCCACATGCAGTGGACTGATGGATTGCAACTGGAAACACAACTAAGCTAGCCTGATGCTGGAATGGATTGCTCCAACATGGAACAGAAACTCTTGACATTGGCTCTGATTAATGCTAGTTAATATGTAAACAATTTTTGATTAGTTGCATCCTTACAGATAATGATTTTACTGTGCATAAAACTTGGGAAATTTTAGTAACCTATTGGAATAACTGAGAAAACTTTTTTGGGAAAATAATCCATTTAGTAGACCTGTTGTAAAACCATAAGTATTATATACAAAGACAAGGTATAATGGCAGTGGATAGCTTTGATCTATATTTTTGTTATGGGATTGGATTCCTAAAATGTACATGTCTTGCTCTTTGTGAATGCCTAGTAAGGAAGGAAAAAGGTATGATTCTACTTTGACAAATTTATCTTTCAGGGTTCAAGAATAACTAAATCTCTCAAATTTCTATTTTATTTCTCCCCAAATAAAGCACGATTATTCTTTCTATCTCTTCCTCAAAACTTGTTTTAAGTTTCTTTATTAGATAAATAGTCAAGTGACTCAGAATCACAAGTTTTACCTTTATAAACGATAATTTGATTTTATCAATATTGCATATTTTAAACTAAAGATTAAAAGTTAATCCTACTCCACAAAATTTGGAGCACCCACATAGTAGAGATATAGACAGTGAGCGCACTCTTAATAGAGGAAAAAAGATCCTTCACCTCTCTTTTCTAAGAAACAGTATAAGATTGGGCAGAATGCTGTAGGTTTGTCATATTTCATATTGTTTTATGGATGAAATGTTCTGGTCACCAATATTCCACATTCTCTGTCAGATGCATTAGGCACTGACTTTGAAAAAATTAAGTTATCTTCTAACTTGTCAATATTTCCCAAGGAGCCCTCTTCAGGAATCCTCTAGCGTGCAAGGTCTGATATTATTATTGGTGGGGAGAGGACCTCATCCCCACCTGTAGCTCATCAGACTGGGCTTCTTACAATATCCCAAGAAAAAGAATTTTCTGAGACTTGCACAGGATAACAAATGAATTTATTTGCATAGAATTAAATCCTTGAGTTTCCCAGGTCCCATTTCCCTCAGCCTCCCCAAGGAAGAAGTCCCATTTTAGCAGGGCTAAAAATCAGAGCCAATGTCAAGAGTTTCTGTTCCATGTTGGATCATTTGACTTACTAAAGCTTGTTCCTTATAACAATGACTCAATAACCTATTATGTATGAAACTCCCTACAGGAGCAACTAAGAAAAGTCTATTAAGGGGCTATGTGTCTGAAATCAAATGAATTTTGCAGAGCCTCAGATAAATAAATAACAAGATAAAATGGGTGGTTTTCTTAATATTCAATAGTTGGGCTTGGTATAATTCAAAATAACTAAATAGCAGTAACATCAACAGAAAAATTCAGGTTAATATCAATTTTAATTTTTATTGCCTTTAATTACTATTTTATTAACTATCTCAAATAACTACAGAATTTTTCATGTTGCTTTCATTTATCAATTCATGACATTTTCATACATCTTACATCTTACTTTTGAGAAAATTAAAATGTTTTTACTTAATATTCCATAGAGGTTCGAAATAGAAAGGTTTTTGGTGTATAATAAAGCCAAATGAAATTCAAGCAGAAAGCTTTCCTCCTCAAATTTTTCCCCCTTTTCCTTTTAGAGCCTGCACTTTAAATAATAATATTAGTGATGTTAGGTCCAAATTATAGTCTGTGGACTTGGCATATTTACCAAGCAATGGCTAGCTTCTTTATCCCTTCGCACTGCTTCAAGCTGCCTACATGAAAGAATCAGAAAACATCCAGGAAGAGGGAGACAAAAGAAACTCTAATCTCAGGTAATCTCCAGAAAACACAGTACAAATAATGGACAGTGCTGACTCGGTTAAGTGTAGGGAGCTCATCCTGAGTTCTTCCTTCTCTAAAAATAACATGAATTACTTGGGGGGGGAGTGGACAAAGAAACAAGACGAAACTGAGATACACCTACTCAAGAGTTCATCCGGAAATTTTCTCAAGAGGGAACTAATTATTATTGCTAAGCTGCATGCTAATTATCAGCTGTCAATGAAGATATACAGAGGATTTAGTCATTTCCTCTCCTGGCCTTTCTTCTTAACCTGCAAGGGAAATAGTTTTAAAACTCACTGACAACAATATATTACAGAGACAGTTCTCTTCACTTTGTCAAAATATATTTAAATTCCACACCTCCGTGCGTAAATGGAGGTGGAGGGAGTGTACATTTTTCAGTTCTCAGACAAAAAAAGATTCCCAAGGGAGGAGTGTTTCCTTCTTGAATGTAAACTTCTTCCACTGTCACCTGCAAAGTAGCAACTTCCTGAGACTTTAAACTCTTCATTATTTTGGAATAAATTCTTTTAATCATTGCATCTCTTAAAGTTAAGTCGACAATAAAATACTGAATCGCACACATAGTAAGCATAATAACAATAAAATATAGAAATAACCATTAGAAATTTCCTTCAATTTCTTGATGGTTCAAAAAAAAAGGGTTTCTTGCAGTGTGCTTTAATGAATTTGACAGATTTGATCAATGATTGCTAATGGTTTGTAGTAATGTTGAAACAGAGTGGTAAAGAAATAAGCAATTAACTTTTTAGAAGTGTAAACAGAGGATAGTTCAGTGATTTGCTAAATGGTCTTTCTAGCAATGGACTGTGGCTGGCCTTTCATGAATTCTCCGGTCTTTTAGATTCTACCTTTCTTACAAGTCAGAGGTCTCCAATAGGCATTGTCATTGTGGTGCTCCAAGTTTTCATTATAAACTACTTCCAACAAAAGCAAAAAGAGTTGAAATGGACATACGAATAGCCTAGAGATTAAATAGCCTTTTATTTCCTCGGTCAAGGAAAACAAAATAATGTCAAAATTTTAAGATTACTCATTTCTGATATATATAAATCATTAGTAGTAATATACATGGTATTCTGGTTTATAGGCCTATGGATTTCTCTATGGACGAGGTCACCCTGGGACAACGTTACACAGAATCCATGCACTGTATGTGTTTGTGTGCATGTACTTAAATTATGGAACTAAAAATCATAGAATATAGAATGCCACTACCTAAAAGTCAATGATTTAACAATTTATTTTTGATTGCCTAATTGTTTTTATTTGTTGTTGTTTTTGTGCTTTTTTAAATATATCTTTATTTATTTTAGAGAGAGGGAGGGAGAGGGAGAGAGAGATAGAAACATCAATGATGAGAGAGTCCTC